CAGATCCCTCCTTGTATCATCAGTTCGTGAGTAGTTTGAATTACCTTACTATTACACGACCCGATATCTCTTTTGCTGTCTAGCTCTTTTCCAAAGTTAATAAGCTACAGTGATGCTGATTGGGCTAGATGTGTGGATACCCGTCACTCAATTATAAGTTGGTGTATGTTTCTTGGAAGTACACTTATTTCATGGAAAAGTAAGAAGCATGACCGTGTCTCTAAATCTTCCACTGAATTTGAGTATCATGCTATGTCTTTTGCTTGCTTTGAGTTTGTTTGGCTTCGAGGTCTACTAGCGGAGCTTGGTTGCCCTCAACTTGAGCCTACACCACTTGATGCTGACAACATTAGTGTCATTCAAATTACTGCTATCCTATGTTCTATGAAAGGATCAAAACACATCAAAGTGAATTGTCAGTCTATACGAGAGCTTACGATGGTAAAATATATGTTGAATTTACAATTTTTTAATATGTGCTGATTTTGGTAGTTACTTTGCTGCTACTCACCAGTAGCAGAAACAGCTCTGCAACCCCTTCCTCTTCCTTTCTTCTCCCTCAAATTCACACCCACCCTTTACAATCATAACTACACCCTTTTCAAAATATTTGTAAGGTTTGAACTTCAAAATTTGGGTTGCGTTGGGGGTTGTCTTTGTTCAATTCAAAAGTCAAATAAGAAATTTTCCAGCAATAATCTCATAGTTATTATTGTACAATGATAATAAACAAGTAGAGAGCAAGTAGTCCAGTTTGGTTTCCATTATATATCATAATCCTATTTTATGGCTAAAGATAAAAACATACTTAGATAAGGATATAAAGCCATATCAAAACAATGATAAACAACTAGTGCTGTAACTATAAAATATTAAAAAAGGTTGTTTCATTGCCCTCAATGTCAAGAGGGATTTTCTTTTTTAACATCCTCTCTGAATCAAAAAGAGAGATTTTGAGTAAACTGTTAAAAGAAGTGTGGTATTTTACATCCTCTCCATTATTTATTTATTTTTTTTTTATTATTATTATTATTATTATTATTATTATTTTATTTTATTTCTTTTTTGCATATAGATATCGGATATGGATTCGATTTCAAAAGAACAAAGTAATCGTGAGATCGGTGATTAAATTCCAATGAAGAGTGAAACTGCGAATATGCAACAAAGTGTAAAGTGTAAGAAGGGACATAAAAGATCTGATGTTTGAGCTCATTTTGATATAAAGAATGATGAAACTGTGGAATGTATTTATTGTGGACAAGTATATAAGCATCAATCTAAAAGTGGGACTAGTACATTGCGAAAATCATATCGAGGATTTATGCAAGAAGTATCCATATAGGTTTCAAGACAAAAAGCAAAAGACATTGAATTTCTATGATTACTCTAAAAATGATGAGGTTTTAGAAAGTGTTGGTAGTGGTGGACAACTTGTCAAGTTTACTCAGAAAGGGGTGAGAGAACAGATTACTAAGTACTTTATATTATCTAAGTTACCTTTTTAACATGTAGAAGATGAAGGTTTTCTATGTTATACAAGATATTTTTTTCCAACTTTTTATTTTCCTTCAAGAATGATAGTTGCTAGGGATATATATCGTTTGTTTCTCGATGAGAAGAATAAATTGAGGAAAGAACTGAGTAAACATCGTGTTTGCTTGACTACTGGTTGTTGGACATCTATACAAAATATAAGTTACTTGTGTTTGACTGCTCATTGGGTTGACGATGATTGGAGACTAAAAAAACGAATCATAAGTTTCATCCAAATCCCCAACCATAAGGGTGATATGGTAGGAAAAAGGAATTGATATCTTGCCTTCAAGACTGGGGAATTAATAAGATTTTCTGTGTGACAGTTGATAATGCCTCATCTAATGACGTAGAAATAATGAAACTGAAGAGCGTTTTTCTAGAGAAGAAGAAGAATGGTCTAGTTCTTGGAGGAAAAATGATTCATATGAGGTGTTGCGCTCACATTCTCAATCTTAAAGTTTGTGATGGTTTAAAAAAAATTCGCAATGCTATATCATCTATTCGCAATGCTGTACGGTATGCCAAATCTTCCCCGGCACAACTAAAAAGATTTCGAGAGAGCTGCAAGGATGCAAATATTGCATCTCGAGGTTTATTGTGTTTGGATGTATCAACTAGATGGAATTCCACCTACATGATGTTGCAGGTTGCAGTAAAGTTTAAAAAGACATTTGATGTTTTGGAAAGTGATGCAAACTATACAAACTACTTTGATGAAGAAAGATCTAAAAGGAAAAATATAGATGAACCACCAACACATGTCGATTGGGACAAAGCAGAAGCATTTGTTGGATTCTTGAAGACTTTTTATGATATGACATTGAAAATTAGTGGCTCTTTATATGTAGCATCAAACACTTTCTTTCAAGAAATATGTGAAATTCATGGGGAGTTGAAAGAATTAGCTAAAAAGCCAAACAGTATGATAGGATCCATGGCAGTTTGCATGACAAGAAAATAAGATAAGTATTGGGGCAATCTTGAAAAGTTTAATCAATTGTTGTTCATAGCAACAGTTCTTGATCCCAGATGAAAGTTGGAATTGCTTAAAGTTGGGCTTGAACTCATTTATGATGTACAAATTGCGAACAAGTTAAAGAAAGTTGAAAACACGCTTCATAGGTTATATGAATGCTATAAGGAAATGATGACTCCACCATTAGCCCCACCTAGATGCTACTCAACCTAGAAGTCAAAGTCCATTACAAAAATACTTCAAGAATTTCCATACCTATTCCCTCAATTTTTAAAGCTAGATTCATGCAGGAAACTCAAGCTGAGAAGAATGATTTGATAGATGATTTAAATGATCGTTGTGAAGATTTGACCAATGATGATTTCGACAAATTAACTTGAAGGAAAATGAATGAAAAAAAGTACAAGATTGTCACCCAAATTGCCAAAGATGTGTTAGCCATTCAAATATCTACAGTTGCTTCTAAGTCTGCATTCTCTACTAGTGGTCGGATTCTCGATTCCTTTAGGAGTTCGTTGAGTGCAAAGATGGTTGAGGCAGTGATCTGCACTAAGAATTAGTTACACAATAACAAGGAACCTATAGTGATTCGTCAATATTTGGATGAAGTAGAAGTATTAGATGATTCATAAAAAAGCTATAGAAGGTTTTATTGTATTTTATCTTTCTATTCACTTTATTTTATAGCTTTTTTTACACCATTTAGTTGTAATAAATGAATATATTTATTATACTCTTATCAATATGCAAAGAACGAATCATATGTTACCACTGGAGATATTGTGCCAATTAATATTTGATTAAGAGGTTAGAACAAATTGTTTCACTGCATTAAATTATTAGAAGTGAAGAACTTGTGTTCATCATATTCGAAATAATAGTAATATTTATATTTTAGCGTCATATTTAAATTTAATATTTATGATTTAACTTGTTTGATTTATATATTTTTTTAATTAAACCGTGGTTAACCAAATCGAAAAAGGTGGTTTAGATTGGTTTGGTTTAGAAATTGAAGAGGTTTGATTTGGTTTGAAATTTTTTCAAACCGCTTTAAATGGTTTGGTTTGAAAATTTGTCACAAACCATCCAAACTGAACCGTGTTCACCCCTACAATAGATGTTCGGACCACTAATGTATTTACTAAGGCAATAACTCAACGACGACATCGGTTTACTCTCAGCAAATTGATGCTTCTAGACCATCCAACATCAATTTGAGGGGAATGTCAATAATATCAACAAAGATTATGGACAACTTAAATTAACATAATTATGCATTATATTTACCACAGATAGATTACTATATGTGTACCATTGATAGATTACTGTAGGTAAGTATTCTTTATCTATATAATGGAAGACATCCCAAATGCGAAGGACATTCAGCCAATTCTTCCCAGGGGAGAGAGAGTAAATGTTAAAATATATGCAATTCTATTTCATTTGATTCAGCGATACAAATACAAATTTACTCTGTTCTTGGCTTCATAATTTGGGCAGGTACCTAACAGCCTTCTAAAAGGAGAATAATGGAACAGAGCATGGTTCTAGAATATTGGATTTTTTTTCCTCCCCAGGGTACCAAACTTACATGAATGAAAGCACCAGAGAAAATTAAGTAGTAGCCAGTTTTGGTTACTTGCTTAGGAATGAGGTTGGTTGCTACAAAGGAGGATGTGACAGGAAAATTGGCATTGCGAGTACAGTGGTAGAGTTTTGAAATACACAACGAGACCTTCAAGTGACAGTTGAAATAAGATGAGCAAATACATTCTTGAAAATGATTCCAGTGTCACTACCAAGTTGATGGAAAAAGGTCTAAACTCCATGCCCATGCTACAAACCATTGCAGAGAATTGTAGAAACTGTCTAATGGTGATGAACCGTTATCCGACATGTACTTCGGCAAAGATATAACTGTGCCAACTTAATAGCCAATAAAGCAAACAGGACCTGAAAATAGTGTTATTGGAGGATCCTCTTGCTGGACAGAATTATTACTACTTGAAGATGTGAGTGACATGGCCTTTGACAAGCCTATGTCTCTTTCTACCTTGCTCAGACAATGGAAACAAAAAGCCAAAATACCCCTAAGCCACCACACCCAGTTGTACGCACGAAACGTAAGATGTTACTCACTTGTAAAATCCCCTCCTTAACAGTCAAATAGCTTACCCGGCCAACAAATTGGATTACCAGTTGGTTTGACAAGACAAAGCCACGTTTTATGCTCCGGTGCTTAGTTTCTCATTTTACTTGTAAACAGATCTTCCTACCTAGCATGCTAAAACTTAAAAGGTTCTGTCATCCTCTTCATGAGCTACTGTTATCAGTTATATAGATGGTATAGTGACCAAGAAAGGTAATACGATGGCATCATCACGTAATGTGATGGTTCTCTGTCCCTACCATATTTCATTTTCCTATTAATGAGAATCATCATAGCACACACATAATACGAATAGCTGAAAACGAACTCAACCTGAGTTTCGGTCCTCATATCTCCATACAAGGAAGAGCTCAGATTTCTCAAAGCCGTAATACAGGGCTCCACAACAGCAGAATCTTCAGTGTATATACCATTTAACTGAAAGTGCAGAAAATAATGAGATACTAGTCAGTCAGAAAGAATTTACATCAATCAGAAAGGATGTTAACAAGTTGCTGACCTGCAAAGCCTTTGATATAGGATCTTCAAAATCATGTCCACCATATGCTGAAGTGTGCCTAGTACAGCTCTAAAACATGGATAAGGACATTTATGTCTTATTTTTTATGAACTTTGCATAATGTATACAAAAAATGATTTTGCAAAAGATATAGACAAGAAATAAGAAAAAATTTAGGGAATTTACCTCAAGCAAAAGGCACAAGATGTCAACTTCAATTTTTGACAATTTCTCACATGCTCTGTTGTTTTCAAGATGATATTGATGACGTCTTTCTAAAAGATCATTTAATAATGATCTCACTCCCACAACACACATAATTTTACTTCCCAAACCTTTGAGTAAAGAAAGGATTCTCAGCTGCCATGAAAATGAAAATACATATAAACCTCTGAGAATCTTCAGCAGCCATGAAAATCAGAATATAAATTAAACTGTGTCCCTTAGCCCACTTGAGTCAGAAATTGGTACAAACGGGACCAAAGCAACTATCAAACCAAAGATTACTTTATAAAGACTAACCTTTGCATATGCAGAAAGCCCTAGACTGTAGCCAAGCATGAAAACCAGGATCTCATCTTTGGTGGATTGATCAAATCTGAAAAGTCATGTCAAGAAAGTCATTAAATGGATTGACACAAAAATGTGATTACTTTCATAATTCCATAAAAACTATTTGGAATTTGAGTAACAGAAGATCACTATAGAAGTACATAATACTAAGCAACCAAATAAGATAGTTAAGACGTGGGAGTCAATTTTCTAACCAAGCACTTGACAAATAGCATGAGTTTGTCAAAGCACAATGATTATGCGGTAACAGAGCATTAATGTCAGCATAACAATGAAGATAACGTAGGAAAAAGAAGGCCTTATGGAGCCATCGTCGGACAAGCGTAGCGTGTCGGGCACATATAAAAAGAAAGAAGGGTCATGACTCCCTCGTTCTATAAGTGGTCAACGTTCATTAACTAGAAGTATATGAATCGAGTGAAATTAAGAAAGAAACAGATCCCATAATCAGCAATAGATATTCACAAATCATTTAGTCAAAATGCATTAGCAATAAACAAACCTCATCAATCAAGGAACTGACATCAAATACGAAGAAAGCTTTCACTGTTTACCCAGGTAATAAGAGAATTAAAAAAAACAAATGGATAACCTATTTCCAATAGCCTGTTGCACCAACAAGCTATGAGCTGAGGAACTGAGCAGAGATGTGAAGAAAGAGCTAAGAAGATTTCTGTCAGATAATATCAGCTTCTTCTGCCGAACCACTAAGTCTAACAGACCCCCAAGAAAATGCAACCAGACTCCATCATTTCCTGCAATTTTTCTCAGTTAAAAAGGCCAGTAAAAATATGGAAGCAGTTGTTTACAAATTTAAAAGGGCAATACCACTATTGGATCCTGAGTCACTAGTATGGGACCACACTTTAGATAGCTCTTCAATGCAGCTCATGGCAGCAACTCGTACATTCTAGATAAAAAAGATCATATAGTATTAGTTAATGACATGCTTATAAAGTATATTTAACAATCAAAAGGATTACAGAAACATCAGTATTCTTGAGAAGAGAAGAGATATAAATGTCAGTAGTTTTGGCTAATGAAACAACCAACAGAATCAACCAAAAATTGAGAAGAAAAAAAGAAAACGAAGTTCGAGAACCTGGTTATCACTTGAAAGTGGAACAAGAATCGCAGGAAATTCGGCAAGGAGCTGAAGAGATGAGCCATCATCTGTCTGAGAACAAAGATTTGAGAAATAACAGAGACTCTCAGCTTGAACAGCAGGTGGAGCGCCTGAAAATTTAAAGAATCAAACAGGAAAAGACGATGAGATAACAGAATCTTACTGAAAGACACAATTTTTTATCATCTTTCCAAAAGGCGTGAATGCAAATAAATAAATCTCTGATAAGCTTTACAACCAGGCATCTTTATTGAGAAATCAAATAAAAGGTCCTTTCATTATAAGTTATAAAAATAATCAGATGAAATATTAATTAAAAAGAATAGAATAAATCTATAATTTAACACAACACAACAAAATACACCTCTAGATATCCATCCATACATCCATACATTGTAAAATGTTCTTAGCAGTCAGCCATTGAGGCCTTAGTCTAATTGTGGAGCAGCAAGGTTAACAGACAAGTCCTTGCATCACTGTGCAGCTCATGTAATTATACATGTTACCATCTATGCCCAGTACACCACTGTACATGTTTATTTCTCATAGTCCAATATCATATGGAAAAAGATCTCATGGCATTCCAGATTAAACTTGGCACTTAAAAGCATTTATTGTCTTCAAATTAAGATATCAATTAATTCAAAATATTAATAAAATTAAAGTTAGTGTTTCTATGTCAATACAAATTGATATCAAATGCCCAACATAGAATCACAAAATGATCAAGTACAATGCAATACACATTACCTAGATCGAGGACAATTGACAATAGAACTACAAAAACAAATAATACAAAAATGGCACAAGGAAAATTAATGATGCTGGCATAACCAAACCTTCTTCAGTAAAAAGTTTCAACATCATTTGCAATGGTGAGATCTTGCATTTTATAACAAGGTATTCCAAATGCTTCTTGAAAATGTCCTTGGAGTTGGAAGCAAAGAAAAAAAATAAATCCTGAAGCATGCATACCCACTTCCCCTTCCTATCCTGTAACAAATGGTGGATCACAGTTGTAGCATTCATAGCGGAACAAAACCTATCAAAATATATATATATAAATCAGGAGTCACCAACCAAAGATGCATCCTCAGGTGCTGTTGCAATTAATGCTTCTAGTAGCCTCCAAAACAAGCAAGCGAGAATCTCCACATTCAGGTCTTTGATGTTGGTGTCAGACACATGTTCTAAGATTCTTATGCAATCTTCATCCAGAATTCTTCTGTTTGACTGCTATCATACTATTCAATTTCAGGCACACGCACACAGATGTAGTTGAGTGTTTCATCAGTAAATAGTAAACCCACTGTACCTGCTCTGATGATATCCCAACAGACTCTAGCATTCCCCACTCCTTTCTGAGAATTGGAAAGCAAGAATCAAATAGCACAGAAAACTGTCCAAAATCTACAAGGAAAATGAAAAAACGCATTATGACATCGAAGTGCCACAACATGTGTGAAAAGATAACATTTTAAATACACACAGTACCCTGAAAGCATTAATGCTACTATCATCGTATACCAAATATCAATCTAGAAATAAACCCATAAATTTCAAAAGAAGACGTCTAAAGAAACGAGAAACAACTCCTCAAAGATACAAAAACTATTATCCAAAGTAGAAGAGTAAGGCCTGGGAGCCATAATTAAACTTGTTGATACAAGAGGCACATTGTGAGAGAGCATGAAAACCTTTTGGTTCCATTTCCAAATCCAGATAAAAGTTGAGGTAAAAAAGTAAAGACGTTTTCCAATGAAATAAGAGTACTATTATAAAGAAAAAATAAAATATGAACAAGTCCAAGAATATTGGGCTGCCAACCAGCAGTGGCAGCATGATGTTAATTCTCAACAATAACTAGGCTACTCAACAAAAAAGTGTGTAAATGGAATCCGTGGAAAATAAGCAAAAACACATCTAGTGTTTTTTAAAAGCAAATTGGGAGTATTTCTTTCGCCAAGTAGACCACTATCAAGAAACATTGCTTGATATCCCATTCCCGTCCACAATTAATATTGCTTTGACATACTACCAATATGATAGCTGTGTCTCTACAGCAACCAATCAAAACTACAGTTATAGCAATAGATAGCAGGAAGCAGCTTATCTACAGCTTCCAGAAATAGGATAAAGTGGGTAGAAGTCCTAACCAAACTTTCTTCCTTTTTGGTAAAGATTGAAAAAATAAAAAAAGAATAAATAGCAATTGACATTAACAGAGAACATGGTCACACAATAATTGTTCTAGATCTGCTTTCCAAGTTAGGTCACAAGTGGAGGTGGGTAGGAGGGCACACATATATAGTGAAAAAGAGGGGAACTAGAAAATTTACCAATTTCTGACGCCATTAATGACTGCAACAAAATCGAGAAGAACAATTTCTTTGACTGCATGTGGGCATTGCAACATTTAGTAAGCCACGGCATGTACTCCTCAGGGTTCAGTAAGAATGTCTCTGCTAACTTACTGATATTCTCCATATTAACAGAAGATATCCGTTCAGGATCCAATTTCTGCATTAGTTTAAGATAGGAATTCAAGTAACAGAAGATATACCAGAACTGCTAAAATAAGATGAGCAATGATTATTTTTCAAATAATTGCGTTTCAGCAAACAGTATTCAGATAGTACTTCCATATGGACATTATCATTCTTTTCGATGAAAATATGAAATACCGGTATGTTTCAGAAGTATATTTCTGTGCACAAACATACGAACACATTCAAACCTATTAAGTATATATACACATACCTTAAAAAACCAATTTAAATGAAGCCTAATGCTTGCAATTGTCACAAACAATCCAAAATAAAAGTAAACATGCATACATATGCAGTTGTGGCAACCAATCCAAAATATACATAAAGATGCGTACATGGTTATTCCTGTGTAGACCCCGAGAACAACATATTTGAAAAAAATTTAAAAACAAATGCAAGAGACAACTAGTCAAATAATTCTATCTCAACTCAGCATAGTCTTATACATGTTCATTTGGGGTAGACGGATCCTCTTCTTTCACTCCATTCCGTTTGAGTCATCTCCAAAGTTGAACAATAAATGCTCCAACCCTTTTCAGTCATACTATTTCATGTCAAGCATTTTCCTCTAGGACTACAACTAACATATGTTCCATCAGTTTCCTTGACAAGTGCATCCAATGGCATTCACCATATATGCTCAAATGATTCTCCACCAATTTGTCTTCCATGTGAGCTGCCTTAAAAATATGCTCAGTGTAATACCACCATGTTAAGTGGGAAAGCACAACTTTTCAAACTTTAAGGGAGGCATAAACTGACCTCCTTAAAGCGAGACAATACAACATATGAGAGAATGTTAAGTGGGAAAGCACAACTTTTCAAACTTTGAGGGAACATGCATTACGAATTTATGGCCCCCCAAAAAAAAAAAAATAATAAAAAAAAATTTATGAGGCATAAAATGTATGAAATTAAATTTTCGTATTATTTTGAATATCTATTAAATTACTGATATAAAAGTATTTAAATAAGTTTAGAATTTTATCATACTTAATATTTGGATATATATTAAATTATTATCGAATTATTTAATATAAAGGTGCTTATATAAATTTAGGATTTTAATATATTTATACTTGAATCTTATCATCATGTAATTAGAATTTTATTTGATAAGGATGTTTGTTAAGAGTCCAATTTAAATTCTAGTAAAATTCTAAGTAGACCATTATCATTATCATACCTATAAATACCCATATTGTGCACTTTAATTCACACAATTTAGAGAGACGGAAAGAAAGAAAAAAAGTGTGAAAAGAAAGAGAGAGAAAGGAAGAAAGAGAGAGAGAGAGAAGAGAGGAGAGAGAAAAAGATAGAAAGGAAAGGAAAAAGAAAACAGCAAAGAGAAAGAAAGGAAAGGAAAAGAAAATAAAATTTTCTCGACACGTTCGAGATCCGTTCGCAAGAATTTTCTATCCTAAATAGCTCAAGTACACAAGAAATTTAACAAATAGGTATGGATTTCTCTAAATGCCCAATGATGGTGTGTTTTCAAATTTTAATATTTTAAGTTAAAAGTTTTTTATGCGCTATTATATGTTCCAAAGTAAAAAAAGATGATGTGAGAAATATCATAGGGTATTATTATGTAAATCTACACGGAAACTAGCCACAGGGCTAAATACCCTAAGTGGAGATTGAGAATGAGTTTGACCTAAGTGAAAATGAGACGGTCAAGTTTCCATCCCATTAAGAAAGTTATATTATGTGCATATTTTACTTGCTTTTTATATTAAACTGTGAAAATACTGACATGAAATCTATACTGAGTATATTCATATGCTCATTCCATATTCTTAATTATTTTTATAGATGCTTGATTGGATCGAAGTTGGAGGTTAAAACTGTTGATAGAGTCCGTGTTGCTGGATTAAGAATTTAAAATTTTCTTTTAATATTTAGTTAGAAAACATTTTTTTATTCAAATTAGAATTTTATTTTATTTTATTTTTATTCAAAAATCAAATGTAGAATTTTTAAAAATAAGTGCTAAATTTATAGTTCATTAGTGGTTTGAATTTATATAACTTTTTATAAGACAATAAAATAGTTTAGTTTATTCCGCAATGTTTCTCAAATATTTTTATATATTATAATACGTCAATCAACATTTATAGTGATTAAAGTGATTATTTAAGTAACCTCCGAAGTATAGGTTTCGAGGCATTACACTCAATTCTTTCTCCATCTCTTCTTATTTTGTTCACCTAAACGTTGTTGTTACGCCTCGAGACGTCAATGCAGCATGGAGGTACTATACACAGACAACTGACAATCAACAAGATCAAAAATAAAGAAATGAACAAGCCGTTCTTTAGCCGAATTACTATCTTCGTCCAAAGCCCCTTGTGGCGAAGCACTCCCTATTTAGTCCGAGCCACAGCACATCCAAAGCTCTCTCTCTTAAAGCCGAAGCACCTACCGCCTTTAAAGCGAATCTAAAGAATATCTTTAAGAATGATTTAATGTTTGTATTAATGAATGTAAGAAATGTTAGCAGAAGGTGTAGGGCAGCCGACCCCTTGTCAATGTAATTAATGTATTGCACTCCGGTTGTTGGGATGAGGCCATGTGGTTTTGGTCCAACAATGACCATGTCGGCCCAGCTCTATAAATAGCAACTTTTGTAACATATAATGGGATGGAAAAAAATGTATGCAAGATCGCACATTTGAATTCCCATAACAAAAACCTCTTTCTTGTTAATTCCACATTGAAACGAGTTCAAATCACCTTCAACTTTGGGGGGAGTTTGTGATAGTTCATTTTTTTTTTTTTTTTTTGATAGGTAATCAAATAATTTTATTACTTAAAAGAGAATACACGGGGGGTGCACAATCACTTTAAGCTATTAAGGAAAAACATGAAATTAGGCAACCCATCTCCAGGATTTCTAGCCACAGCATTAAACCAAGAGTACAAAGTAAAGTAAAATGTTTCTCTTATCTGCTCTCTTGTCTTTGTTTGGTCTTCGAAGCAACGGTTGTTCCTTTCTCTCCACACGCACCAAACAATGCAACCCGGGATAAGGTGCCATACTAGTTTGCTATCTTTATCCCGAAGTTTTCTACGCCATGCCCGTATCACGTCCTCTATACGACGAGGCATCACCCAATCCATAGATTGTGAACTGATTATACTGTTCCAGATCCAACGTACACCATCACAATGAATGAACAAATGATCAATCGTCTCCCCATCCTTCTTGCACATATAACACCACTCAATTGCATAAAAGCCTTTACGACGAAGATTATCTACCGTTGAGACCTGTCCTCTCACAACTGTTCACAATAGGAATGCCACCCGAGGAGGCAATTTACACTGCCAAACCAACTTCCATGGGAATGAATTATTCACACATCCCATGAGGGAACCAAAGTACGAGCAAACCGAAAAAATGCCATCCTGTGCTATCCTCCACCTGATGCAATCCCTCTCTCCAATTCGAATTTGGGCCTCATGTAAAATGGTTATAAATAGCGAATAATCTTCCAATTCCCAATCCTGAAGATCCCTCCCAAAAGTTATATTCCAACTATAACTCCCATTATGAATGTCTAAGGAATCACTCACCATGGCAGTGAACACTAAGGCAATACGATACAAAGAAGGGAATCTCTCCTTCAGCGGTTGATCTCCGCACCAACAATCATCCCAAAATTTAATCTCATTACCATTTCCAACCACAAACTTCAGTTTGTCCACAAATGCACTCCATCCCCGTCGGATATACCTCCACAAGCTCACCCCATAAAAACCACAATCCTCAAATGTACACCATCCCCCCTCGGTCACACCATACTTCGCCCCAATTATTTCTCTCCAGAAACTGTCCCTCTCCACTCCAAATCGCCACAACCACTTGCCTAATAAGGCTTTATTGAACAACACAAAGCTCCTCACCCCAAGACCTCCCATCCTCATCGGCAAACAAACAACTCCCCAATTGACCAAATGGAGTCTCCTCCCCTCTCCCAACCCTGCCCACAGAAATTCTCTTTGAAGCCTCTCTAGTCTCTTTGCCACTGCTATCGGAATGGGGAACAATGACAAAAAGTAAGTAGGGAGATTGTAGAGAGTGGATTTAATGAGAGTAAGTCTACCACCCTTAGAAAGATACATACGCTTCCACCCTGCTAACCTTCTCTCCATCCTGTCCACAAGACCATTCCAGATATGGGTACTTTTAAATCGTGCCCCTAATGGGAGTCCTAGATATGACATCGACAACTGCGCAACCTTACAACCCAATATATCAGCCAGCTCCTCGACATTATTAACCTCCCCAACTGGAATAGCCTCAGACTTTCCCAAATTAATTTTCAAACCAGACACCGCTTCAAAACATAAGAGCAGACGGCGCAAGTTCCTGAATTGTTCTACATCTGCATCACATAAGATCAGCGTGTCATCTGCAAATAACAGATGAGACACCTACAATTGATCAACCATAAAACCCCTTATCAAACCCGCTCTCACTGCTCTTTCAATCATCCTACTGAGAGCCTCCATCACAATGACAAATAACAATGGGGGTAATGGATCCCCTTGTCTCAAGCCTCTACTGCTCCGGAAATAACCCTCTGGTGTTCCGTTGACCAAAACTGAGAATGAAACAGTAGAAATACAGAATTGAATCCATTTACACCATTTATCCCCAAAGCCACAGCGCCTGAGCATATATAACAAGAAACCCCAATTCACATGGTCGTAAGCCTTCTGAATATCTAGCTTACAAAGCATCCCTGGGGCCCTTAGGCGCATTCTTGAATCTATGCATTCATTCGCTATAAGCACAGAGTCCAAAATCTGACGCCCTTTTACAAATGCATTCTGAAACTTGGACACTACTTTTCCCAGTACCTCCTTTAATCTGTTTGCCAAAACTTTCGAAATAATCTTATACACCCCGCTGACAAGGCTAATGGGGCGAAAGTCCTTAATATCAGTCGCTCTCGGTTTCTTAGGGATGAGCACAATAAATGTGGCATTAGAACTTCTCTGGAATCTGCCACGTTCAAAAAAATAAGATAAAGTATTCACAATGTCCAGTCGAACCACATCCCAACACGCTTTGTAGAATGAGAACGAGAAACCGTCCGGTCCCGGGGCCTTATCATCGTTCATGCTGAAAACGACCTCCTTAATTTCATCCTCCCCAAATGGTCTCTCCATCCATCGGGCATCATCCTCATTGATTGTAGAAAAATGCAATCCCCCCAATTCTGGCCTCCATTCAAATTGCTCCCGATAGAGGTTCTGATAAAAATTAACCAGTTGGCTTCCAATTTCCTGTGGTTCCTCATAAGTAACCCCATCCACCTCCAAAACTGTGATGGAGTTGTTCCTCCTACTAGAATTGGCGACCCTGTGGAAGAATTTAGTGCATTTATCCCCCTCTTTCAACCAAGTAACTCTAGATTTCTGTCGCCAATTAATCTCCTCCATCTCTACCAACCTCTCCATCTCTTCCTTTAATCCTCTATGTCTCTCCTTCTCCTCCCCAGTCAACCCCTCACTCTCCTCCCGCCTATCCAATTCCTCTATTTCTGACAGACACTGATTTTTACTGCAGTTAACATTGCCTACAACTTCCTCATTCCATTTCTTTAAGTCCCCTTTCAACGCCTTTAGCTTCTGATCCAATACAAAACAGGGAGACCCACTGACTTCATAGGAAGTCCACCACGTCTGTACACGCTCCCTAAAACCTTTTACTTTCAACCACATCTTCTCAAACCTGAAAGGTCTTCTTCCACCACCCCTTCTATTCCCCGATAACATAATAGGAAAATGATCCGAGTATACCCTCCCCAATCTTCTCTGAGTGACATCTGAATATTTAGACTCCCACTCCCCACAAATCAAGAACCTATCAATACGAGACAGAACGGGTTGATCCCGATTGGATGACCAGGTCAAATCTCCCCCAATCATAGGTAAATCCACCAACAAATTCTCCCTAATGAAATCTGAGAACTCCTCCATCGCCCTAGTTAGTCTCCCACCACTCGACCTCTCCGACGGAAATCGAATCACGTTGAAATCACCCCCAATACATGTAGGGAGATTCCACCAAGCCCTCATTCCAGCCAGTTCATCCCACAAACCCACTCTACTGTCATCAGAATTAGGCCCATAAACTCCTATTAACATCCACCGAAATCCATCCTCACAATTTTTGAAAGAAATCGATATAGAGAACACCCCTATACTCACCTCCTTAATCTCAAGCACCCTAGTGTCCCACATCACCAACACGCCTCCTGAAATCCCTGATGACCCCAAAAACTGATATTAGTTCATTTTAAATTGTTATCAATCATACCGTCGGTACTCGAGCATGTTCGTCTCGTGTTATAGAGCATCTTCCACATCTGATTGACCTTACGATCGACTATTCCGATCGTTACGTGTCGGAATTTGCTCGCGTAGACACGAGTAAGCCTGACACCTATTGGCCAAGCTATCATCGCAAAAAAATGGAGTCAACAATTGTCATCTCACCTACACTCAATTAATTAGATGTCATTTCGAATATCACAAAAATTACATACAGAGCCCCTCTTCCACTTATTCGAATACAAGCATCATATTATCTACAAATCCATCAACTCGCTTACCTTTAGTTCATCCATGATTAAAACAAATATTGGTAATTCAAATCTCAAAAGACTCTTGGGTAATCCTCTCTCTCTCTCTCTCTCTCTCTCTCTCTCTCTCTCTCTCTCTCTCTCTCTCTCAAAGCATCACTGTGTAACTCAGTCTCACTGATTTAATGCCATGATAGTTAGGCAATCATGATATCACCCATATATAAGAAATGGGAACAAATATACTTGACATCCACTCATTCAGCATTTTCATTAAATTTTTTTATTTTTTTTTGTTAATCAAGAAACTATAACTTCTCCAAAATGCTTCCAAATATCAACAAATATACCATCCAGTTACCAGTCTTACCAACTTCCATCCTTTTTAGAGCTACCTTGATCTTCGCAATCATAACTCCGTAGAAAAGTTTATACAATGGATGGCAATGCAAGACTCCAATGAGAATTCCAATGAAAATCTGGACCTGGAGGCTTTGAAACAGACGGATTAACATGTTTTGATCTCTCTTAGTGATGATAAGGATGACAATCCTATTTTTTTTCTAACGAGGGACCGACTCCAAAAAGAGGTTCTTTTCTGCACATTTTTCCACCATTATATACTCAACAGAGATCGCAGATTTTGGACCAAAAGCTCTATATATATGTTTACCCTGCTTTCTACATAACTTATTTTTAACAGGACATAATTACACTTAAGAGAACTAAGGTCCCTCTCACTATATCTTATCTCTACATTGCTCCTTTCCATACACAATAGCATCTTCTGCAATTTTATAGATGTGAATGTCAGATACACCTAACAGCAATTCACTGTGTTGACAAATTACATAAAAACTCCTTAATGACACTACAAGCCTACAATGTGATTAATGATTAAGTTGCTTATAAACACCTATGTTCACTGAGATGCAAGTGGTTGACAATTCATCACAATAATCTTTATTTTAACACAATGTTAAGGAAGGTTGTACAATAAACTGAAGAAAAAGAAACAAGAAGCATATGTACAGTGCATATCTCCAACTTCTTAGTCAATTTAAATGGCAGAAATAAATATGGGTCTCAGATCAGAATTTGCGAACTTTGTAAATAGAATAGGCCATAAAATAAAAAGAAATGAAATAAAAATAATTTTGAATGGCTAGAAGAAAGACTGTCCAAGGATGATGGAAGATTTTAGGTCTGACACATGAGAAAATCAACTAAAGGGATATTGGGCACATCATTATTAGAATCTGAAATCAAAAGTGGAACCCATCCTTCAAAAGTTCCAATGCTAGGTATCCAAATGCAATGGATTTACAAAAGCTTACATATGGAAAATCAACTTACCTTGTGTCGACCAGAAAGATTGTTAAGATTCCTGTAAAGAGACCATTTTAACTCCTTAGCTAATTCCAATGCCTTCAGATTCAATCTCCAGGTCTGATTAGGCAGCAAGAACATTTAAAACAGCAAGTCAAGCAAATATCATGAATAAAAACATCCTCAACTTCCCATTAAAGAGGAAACAACGTAGAGTAGTCCAAAATAAAGGAACCTTGGGATGAATTAGGATTAATGGGAAAATTGACATCGCTAAGTTTGAGGCATGTTCTTCGAGATCTTTGAAACTCATAATCAGTTGTTGTAGGCACAACACAGCAGCATTGTAAGGTAGAGAGGAGTTATTTAATGAACCTGCAAGGAGCAGCAAATGATAATAAATTGAACATATGCGCGATGATGATAGGATTAGAAGAAAGAAGTCCTCAAACCAACCTGTCCTCCCTTTCTAGGTAAGCAGTTTTCTTCATTCATTGATTAATTCAAGTTAGCTTTGCATTTAAATGGTAAAAGACTTGTAAATTCAAAATGATGGCATCCAGAATTCATGTACTGGTGATTTTGAACCTGTCCATTGCAACCGTTTCGCTAACAGTAACAATTCTTGTACTTTTCTTGTGGTTGGAATATCTCATGACTAATATTCAGGTGTTTTCAGAGAGGCAAGATACATGTTGGGAACTCTTCTTGACAAATTGGATATCTTTCCATTTTAGTAGTTCCACATTTAAATATTACTTGATCCTTTTGCATGCAGCAGGTATTTAAAGTACCAAGCAAAAATTCGCATAAGCCCAGTGTATGTGCTGGCTCCTTGAAAATGTAAGGATTTTGCAACTTTTATGACTTCTATTTATACTCATATGAAGTAATGTAGGATATACAGATATAGCAGACCTCCTTTGCAGTTAATGTCGTTCTATCTTAGAGGGTAGCACCATATCCAACAAGCAGAATAAGCAAGATTCAGGAAGATTAAAACTGGTAATTATCCTGATAAATTAGGATATGTGATTGCTGAACTTCATTGTATTCTTAATTGCACAAGTTAATTGTGTTTATAACTCAGATAGATTGACATCGTCTTATGTTAATTGTCACGGTTTAAAAAGCAATAACTTGCATTATTTCCCGTTAAAAGTTAAAACTCCTAGGCGTTTGAATTCTAACAGAAGCTCTATAAATTAAGTTTCGAGCAAAGAATAGACCCCAGATTCAGAATGCTAGAGTTTAACAGCATACTTACTTGACAATAAGATCTCACTGCACCTCTGAATCACATGTTGGAGTGCTTCAATCAGACGCGCAGAATTTATTATTTCAGACAACTTCTTTAAATTCAGAACAGCAAGGACAACACTTAGGTCATCTTCATAAAGCTGCTGCAGTATTGCATCTTGAATGGCAACAAATTTCTGGGTAGAGAAGAACCACTTTAGGAATCAAGTATAAGAAAAGAACTTACAATGACCAGGTGTCAAAAAATTCTAACACTGAATATTGTACGAAGGGAATGAAAAATGAGAAGCAAACTTCGCAAATTTAAAGCATGTATGAGAAGCATTTATAAGTGGTTTAAACTATATATAGATAGAAATGAGTGATGGATACTACTTGTGGTTCTCTCGAAATGTGTGGAAAAAAGTGGCCTGAGTGTTTATAAACAGTTTATAAATATGAGCCAAGCATAGGCTTAGACATCACTTATACAAATAATGTCGGTCACACCACCATTGATGGATCCAAGCACAAAAAGGCAAAACAAATTTTGAGAAAATCAGAATAAAGAGCCATCAAGAAAGTTTGAAGTACCACAATAAAATTGAAAGCATGAGGCACTAAATATGGTTTCTTCGACCATGAAAAGAGGAGAGATTTAATTCTTGGGGGATATGGAATATTTCAGATTTTCCCTTAGATGTAGAAGTAAAATCATACTGCATTAAAACCAGCCAAGCAACAAGACAACCACGACCACATTCCGGCTATGGTAAAAGATCTGTTATGAACAAATTGTCAGCATTTATGTGGTGAGCAAAGATCTTATAGTTATTGAATATAAGAGCAAGATACAAGAAACAAAAGGTTTTGCCGGAAAACACAGACAATTTTACTTCTTTTTTTAATTTTGCCAGTCATATATTAATAGAGAACTACCAGTGAATAGCATTTTTAGAATAATGTGTGGTCAAAAAGTAAGGAAAATTTTTTGATATACATGTAGAACATTTTATTGTGCGAATGTGTGGTTGAAAATGATTCTATAGCAAACTATAAAATATATTAATGTGTGTTAAACAGTCACTTAATTGCAACACAAGAAATGTTCCAAATTGTAGAAACAATGACGACCTGGCAAGAACAGTATAGAGATGGAAACCAGCATCGAAAAAATGGCATGGCGCTGCTTATTTTTAAACTTTATGTTTACTTCTAATATATGAAACATGTCGTATCAACCTGCAATCTAAGTAGAGTAAATCAGGCACTACCTTAGAGCCAGCAGCTTTCTCCCTCGTAATGCCATCAACATCCAAGCTCGAGAGCACTAGCCTCCGAACCTCGACCTGGACAAAATCAAATGGAATGTCCATTGGAGCAAATATAACTGTATACCACACCTAAATTCGTCCTAGCTAATAAATATACACAGTAAAACTTGAGAGGAAACTTTTTATCAAGCTTTGCTAAGTAAATGGTGATGGAAATTTCCATTGGAGAAGGAGATGCAGTATGAGTGTATGCGACATTTATTGTGCTATGAAGAGCTTAAAGCCCATCATCTTTATCAAACAAAGGGGGTTAGTGAGCCTTCATAGATACCAAAAAAGGGAGAGGTCCGTGGACCGTGAAAGAAAAATAAAACAGAGACAAAAAGAGGGAGAAACAAAAAAGTAGTCTCTCTGGAACTTCACTAGAAGATCATGAGGCAAAACATTGCCAAATTTGGCACAAATTTAGCAGCAAGTTCTACACTTCTACAGGTCTTGAATTTTAGCTTGATCTATCAAAAGTCTTCAAACTATCCCTTGGTGAGATCTAGACATTTCTCTTTTTATTTCCATCATTGAAATCACTCTGTGTAGAAAAATCCATGTTTAGGTGTTAACAGCGGCTATGCATTTGAAACTCCAAAACAGTTACTTAGTAGCTCGTTGCTACTTCTCTTCTTTGGCTCGCCGGAAGATGCCAATCATGCACTACTTCATTGTAGGTAGGCCTAAGAGTCATGGTATCTTTTACCTTCACAGCGTTGCCTGAATGATGCCTAAGGGGGTCAGGGATGCAGGAGAGAAGTATCGAGGGATTCTATGGAGAACACTGGGAAAGTAGTGAAAGTAGCCATAACTGCTGACGCAGGTAGTGTGGAGAGAGAAACAGGAGGGAAATTTAGGGGCAAGAGAGTGATATTTTGAAGCTCAAGACTACTTTCCTATTAAAGTGCATGTCCGACGAGACAGTCATGCCACTGCAGTGGGAGTGCCCAAGGTTCATAGGTAGTAATGCATTACATTAATGGTAATGTAATGAAATCAAAGTTAAACAAAGTCAAAGAATACCTCTGGATGTTCCAGAGCAAACAGAAATTTCAAATCAGATATTCCATTTGATAAATCCAAGATTCCATCAAATATCTTGCACAGCATATCATAGCTCGAACAATCTTTCTTGAACTTCATTTTGGCCTCCTATAAAAAAGCCAGGAAAAAATCATAAATAAGTAGTAGCATTCGAATCATTAAGGATACAACTGCAAAGAAGCAAGAACAACAAACCTTCAAGAATCTGTGAATGGCTCCACCTGATTCAAATTGGTAGTGTTTGTGAACAGCATCCAGTATCTTCCTGGCACGGCTTCCTGATGAGAGTTCCACAGTGCCCAATTAAGACAATAAGCCAAGATAGTACTTTATTCAACCATCTGGATGCATGTATGCATATCTGTAGCTACTAAACATATGCAAAAGCAACATAAAGAGTAGATAAGAAGTTAGAGCCCTAGGGGAACAATAGTTACTAGATGTAGTGGCAGAGGGAGGTGGGGTCCAGTTGGGTCATTGGCTCGCAATGAAATTTGAAATAAAATTTTCGTAATAGGACATTTTTATTTTGATTATTTTATTACTTAATATTATTATATTTTGTGTTTGAAAATTTTTTCCTCAGTTAAATTTTGCTCATACTGATCCCATGTTGTAGCTCCGCCACTCACTACATGTGCTAAGAGCATGGACACAGCAAGGACTCTTTGGCCTCGAGCATAAAATAAAGCTTCATCAAAGTGAAGCGAGTATTCTGTTATGAATGAAAATTCCCCCATTGATTCATGTGCTAAGACCATGGACGCACCAAGGACTTTTTGGCCTCAAGCACGAAGGTAAGCTTTATCAAAGTAAAGCGCCGATTATATTCTGAATAAAAATTCTTCACGTGACATCATATTTGACAAAATTCAGAACTGAGCAATTTCAACTAAAATAATCAAGCATCAAGTAATTCCACCAAAACGTTGAGCAGAATCTGAAAAAATGTAAGTAATTCAGATGCAATCAAAAATGCTCGAAGGTAAGCATGTGCATTCTGTGCTTGGCTTCACCTTGAACTTTTATGCTGTTTACTTATGCTGTGCAGTTCAAAACTAAAAAAGAGCTAGGGTGCATGCTTTTAACAACTAAGTAAAAACAGACAAACCTGATTCAGAAGATGCCCAATATTTCTTGTCAAATGATATCCTCATGCACGTATTAAGAAGCTTAGAGACTATATGACTAACTTGTTCTTTCAAAGGAATAGTCTCTATCATTGATAATAAAGTAGAATGGCGGATATCATCAGACAAACTGCAAATAAAAGATACTTAGTTCAGCGGGAAAATACAGAGGGAGAATAACCTACATAGTTAAAAATGGCATTCCCATACCAGTGCTCAAGAAGGGAGTCCAGAAACACAGCAAGGAATTTGTCAATATTGTAATCCTTGGTCAGTCCCAAAAGGATCCCCGTAATATCCCTTCAAAGTCAAAACAAGATATGAAAGATATAGAACTACTATGAGAAAATAGAAACTACCAGATAAAGAGAGTGCTGAAAGTGCAAGATTGTGCATATGAAAGTCCACATGGCGATAGCAAGGCCCACCTGATTTCAGTTACGACATCCAGAGTCTTCCTTGGTATAATTAACACTGATTGAAGCTAGAAATCAAGTTCAAAGAAACATAAGGACACGATTGATAACAATAATTATGCCACAAAATCTATGGGTGCATACCACCACTGAAACACTTAGCAATAAGCTCATAATGCATCATGGTCCAAGTCATGACTTGTGGAAGTGAAAAATGACATGTAATACTAAGATGCCAGAGTGAAATCGTAAAGCAGTACCTGAACAAAGTTGATTAGGGCCATAAATGACATGCGGACACATTGTAAGTCAGCTGATTCGTTTACGTCTGCCCTGACTATGTCAGCAATTGAACGCATTAGGCCTTTAACGACATTTGGGGCCAGAGCCACTTTTTGGGCTAGTAAAGTAACAATAATTAGAGCACCAGCCTATAAAGAAAATAAATAAGATATTGGTCCATCAATCAACTAAAAGCACAAGAAATAAAACCTGCCAAATTATGGTCAGGAAAATAGCAAATATAAAAATTACACATTTGAACTTGACCTTCTGATTCGATCCTTTGGCACCAGGTTGAAGTCCAGAATTCAAATATGGAAGAATCCTCTTCACAACATCACTATCAATAGTCACTACTCTCAAAACCTCAAAAACGACTGCTGTGCAGAACCCAGTCACAACTTTTGATTGGTGAATCTTCTTTAAAGGTGCAGCCTTAAAAATTTAAAAACCTTCAGGCAATCATAATGGGAAAAAGGAAAACAGAAGAAAACACTGCTAATAATAAACTCTTACATAATTACATATAGCCTCCAAAACCCCCATATCTTGGATACACTGTTGTACAATGACATGCCTGGGCAGTGGAGCACCTGATGTTTTAACTCCATCGAGAAATTTCCATCTGCTGTTTCTGCACCACCAATATAAATCATGTAGAAATAAAATTGCATGCTCAAGTAGTATGTTTGACAAATTTAATTCAGTCATGATCATGTTATCAATTAACTAAATTTAAAGGAAAGAAACAATATCCAAAGAAGCAAGAACCAAATTTTACAATATCCAAACACAAGGAATTTTGGGTACTAATGAACTCATAAAAGAAAAAGACTTACCCTGCGTTAATTAATTGTACTATTTGAACAAACACGTGAGTCTCATGATACGGCAATGCACATAAAATTAGCTCCTCGGTATTGTACACATGAACCCTACAACCAAAAAAACTCAACTTTTTGACTATCAAAAAATTATAAACGATGCTTAACAAGCAAGTAGGTGAAATTTACCATGATCACCCACAAAATAAGGGGAAAAAGTACGTACTTGTATCTACGGATTAAATACTCCAAGGTGTTCACAGCAGAACTCAATTCCAAATACCCTGTTAGTAACCGTAAATACGAGCTAATTGATGCATTAATTCCGTCATTATCTCCAATCCCCAACAACTCCCTGTCAAGCTCCTTACTCTTGTAACTAAACAAATCGTTCCTGTAGTTCCTAAACCTCTCTTCCTTGTCTATTAAAACCTCCAATCCTAGTAATAAATAAACAAACATTAGAAAAACATATACAAGTAGAGGTTTTTCAATTAAGAAATTTGAGATGCTAATACCAGAGAGGGCAATGTTGAGGATAGTGTCAAGGTCGGTATCAGCGGCCTCTTTGGGGTCGAATATGAGCGAGGGGCGAGTGAACGGCTTTTTGAGGGGTTCAGAATCGGCGTGCACGTTAGAGAGAGATTTCAGAGCCTGTAGCTGTGCTGAAATTGAGTTTCCTGCCATTTTTTCAAACTGAGGGAAAGCACTGAGTGTTATAAACTTTATACCCGTTATCGCTCTTATATATGCCGGACTTAGGTATAAAGACTTTCTTTCCCTTGAGGTCAGACGCTGGAGTTGGCGGAAAGTAAGCAAATCAGAAGTACAAATAGCAGAACAGAGGCGGTTTGCCCTGCTTGGCTGCACAACTAAAAATTGAAAAAACCAAATGGCATAGAGGCTCGGCCCAAAACAAATTAACCCACTCAGTCAGCCCAAAATGAGAGAGTCTGATTAATGGGCAAATTATGCCCAATATCCTAAAAAAATTAACTAAATTTATTGAGTGAAAATTACATAGAAACCTACTTTTAAAAATCTCATTTCATAAATCATATGCTAAGTTTATTATTTCAAAAATCAGACATTTGTTAATTAATATATTATTATTTTATAAATATATTATAAAATTAAATTAATACACATCCACCCACCCTACCCAACCACCCCTCCAAAAACTCTAATTGTCTTCATATTTCCTTTCTCTCAGTCTTCCCCCACTTCATGTGTCACTAGGGCCATCACATTGGCGATGATGCGACTGCATCGAGCTATAACTTCTACATAGTGTGAGTGGTTGCAGTACCAACCGACGTGCACCAGAATCTGCAACATCCGATTGTCATGAGTGGCTACAGTACCAATCAATGTACACGAGAATATGCAACATCCAATTATCGGGATCTATAGCGCACGAATGACAAGGACATCTAAAGCAACACGATCTTTTGTAGCAATGAAATAGATCAAGATTTGTAGCGGTGCATCACCCTCAGTGGTGTTGCAGTTTTTGATTTATTTATTTTTTAATTAGATTTGTTTAGTTTGAGTTTTTTGTTGTGGTTGGTGTTTTTGAAAATAGTGGTGGTGGTTGAGTAGATAGCGGTGTTGATGCAGTTGGTGATTGTGATGGTCACATTGGTGTAGGGGATGGCATTAGAGGAGATGGTACAGCCATCGTGGTAGCATTTTGATAGTGGTGTTGGTTGTCATCATCGTTGTTGAGCTCGTGTGTGGTGGTGGCGCTGCTGGAGGCAAGGATGAGGAGGTGGTCACAATTAGTGATGATGGTGGTGGTAATGGTTGTAGCAACGACGGAGGTGGTCTAGCAGTGTAACGCTGTGGGTGTGGTGGTGGCGGGGGTGAGTTCTATGATGCTCTGGGTGTGGCGGCAGCGGTTCTGTGATGCTGTGGTTGTGGCGTTATGGTTCTGTTATGCTGTGATACTGTGGATGCAGTTGTGGTGGTTCTGTGATGCTATGGATGTGGCGGTGTTGGTAATGCTATAGGTGTCGCGCAACAGTTTGGTGGCATTACGACTGATCACAGTGTGGTCACAACTGTTGGTTGCAGTCACAAATGATTTGGTTAACTATAACCATTAAATTAATTAATATGTGACCAATAAACAATATATAACCGATAAAAGATGATAAGTTGTGACAAAAAAATAATATATGACCTAAAATTTTGTTAATTTGTAACCAATAATTTGATATTTTTTACTGTATACTAAATTATGACTTTTAAAATTAGCGATTTATGACTGATAAATGAATTGTGACTTAAAGTTATTTTTGATTTGTGATCAATAAACAAATTGTGACATATGAATATTTTGATCTATGATCGTTAAATAATTTGTGACCTATAAATTTTTTGATTCGTGCCCTAAAAATAATATGTGACTAACTAAATTGTTGATTTGTGACCAAATTGTGTAAATCTGTAATCTTTCTATATTTAATTAATAAAATATATAATTAATTATTTAAATTATAAATGAATTTTATTAAATATCTGATTTTGAAAATTTGAAACTTTTATTCTCAATTTTAAAATAGGTGATATTTATCCTCTTACTTATGAATTTTTCTCATTTATTAATACCCGTTAATTAGTGAATCATTTAACAACATAATTAATACGTTATAACATTTCTCAAAATCTCAAACCCCTGAGCAGACGAGCACACAGAATCTTCGTCGTGTTTTATGTATAGAAGCCTTTGTCGTGAGGGCAGGTGATGCTGATTTAGCACTAGCAACAAAGGTTGGATGCTAAATTGGGGTTATTTTGGTTGTCTTCGATGCCTTTATTTGATCTTCATTGCTCCTATCTGGCATTGGGATTCTCATGCTAAATATACATGTTTTTGTTTGATTAAGAAGCTGAAGCTGGTAAGAATAAGAAAAAATACTATATAATCTCTATTTCGATTGTAAGATGGTGGCTATGACAATGATAATTATTGTATTATTTAATTTTAGTTATTCTTCTTTGTTCTAGTGTTTTTCCTAAGCTTTGGTTAGGATTTGATATATATTTATCTGGTTGGGAATGGATTTGATGCATAAAAATTTATCATATTTCTGTTGAATAATTTATTTGTTGTTTATATGGGGATTTCTTCTAGATTTCTGGTGTTACAAACCGAATTTGAGTTTTAAATGTTTTTGCGTTTTGGATAAAATCTCCACAATAATGCCTCGGGGTTCTCTTTTTCCATCTGGTAAAGTGTCGATTAATTGCCATTGAGATGGTGAATAGGCCCTTGACTGGACAATAGGTGCGATGAAGCCTCTGGTTCAAGTCCAATTGATTCATTGTCATTATGTGTTTATTTCTATAATAAATGATTTTTTGGTAGAATAGAATTGCTGCTAAAAGCAAATGTCATGTTTTTGTGCTTGTATATCCTTTTTGTAAAACTTCAGTTGAAACCAAAGGTTGGCGTTTGATGTAATGTTTTGAGGGACTTTTACCCGCAAGATTAGCCTTGGTGGAGGTGGAGTGTTGGTGGTGGCAGAGGAGTAGTTGAATTTGCATAAAATGTTATATTTTTAAGTTTTTGAAGGATGTTTTGTCACTTTTTGAGGTTTTTATTACTTTCTTGAAGCTTTTTTGAGTTTTTGTCATTTTTTCGAATAGTTTACTTTTTTTTGTGACAAACAACACTTTTCAATAAAAGTGATATTATATAATAAAAAGTGACATTTAACTTTATACAATATTTTTTTACTTCAAAAAAAATATTTTATATGATTAATGTGTTGGTTGAATTTGTAGATGATGATAGTGATGAATTGTCTTATAGATATTTGGCGTTTTGATTTGTATTTTGTTGAAGAATAGACTTAAAAATATTTGGGTGAATGGAGAAAGAGGAAGGACCGCAGTTGTGTCATTTTTATTATTATTTATATCATTTTATTGAATCAATTCTAATGTTTGAATTGGTGTTTTATCATTTTTTTGAATTTATGTCACTTTTTTGAATTTCTATCACTTCTTTAGATTGTTCGTAATTTTTTTGAATTTTTATCATTTTCTCGTCACTTTCTTAAAATTTTTATCATTTTTTTTAGTGACGAAAAAGTGATAATGTATGTTAATTTTAATTTTAAAAAAAAAAAAAAGAGAAAGAGAGACATTTAACTTTAAAAAGTAACATACTTTGTGTCATTTTTTTAAAAAAGTGACACTTAATTTTACACGATATATTTTATTTTCAAACTATGTTTCTTATGGATATTTTAGAAAACTCTTACTTTTAAGAGTATTTTTGTAAGTTGATTAATTTCTTTTAATTTTTAAGCCAAATACCTATAACATGTTAGCCCATACTCATAACCCAGGTCCCACCCATAATTCAAAGATTCGCATTCCTTCGTTGGAGCTGCGCATTTCTTGAACTAAATTACTATTTTCTTTTTTCAATTTCTCTATGAAAAGATTGTACTTCTTGATAAGTGTGATTTTGCACTAAGTTGGACCATCAAAAGTGAGCATTTTTTGGTGTGCTTTTATAATTTAGATACTTAATTTTGTATAATTATTGATTTTTTTATAATTGAAGGAACAAAAATTGATCAACTAGGACTAAGGCCCTGTTTGCCCAACATTATTTCAAAAGAAATTTTTTAAAATAGTGATTTGATATCATTTTCAACCACAAATTCTTCAATAAAGTAATTATATTATACACAAATTCAAAACTTTACCTTATTTTTTAATCACACATTTCCAATCAATAGACTATAAAAAAATACATTATTATGAAAATAGTGTGGATCAAACAAGGACTGAACAATTTTACATATAGTTATAGTAAACTTGTCAATGTAAATGGGGCTTGTTCTACTCCAAAGAGATTACTAACTAAATTGGATAATTCAGCTGTTAGCATGTGAAATTGAACTAAGTGAGTATTTGTTGACTCGGGTAAAATCAAAATTCTTAACTACTTAATTTCGTAAAATCTTCTCTACATTGTTTGAGTATTGATTATGTTAGCTATAGTTTAGTATAAATTTTAGTGTTATATCATTCCTTAAACTATTAATTGGTCTCCACATTAGTTTAAGTTGATCTCAGGTTACATAAAAATTGATCGTAAATAAGTAGTCTCTGAAGTAATGAAACTTGAAATTCAATTCATATTAGTACTTGTCAGGATATTGTATAGTTGCAGATTGACGAACAAGCATTTGGCATCGTTATCAGGATTATTATTTACATTAGTTTTTAATTAATTCTAACTTTAGTTCAATTTTTATTTTTCTTTTTCTTTTTCCCTTTTTTTCAACTGGCCTACTTTTTTTTATTAATTTCATTGACAATGAATGAAAAGAAGTAATATACCAAAAATAGTATGAGATGAAATCCCAATATTGATGATGGCAACATGTCCATGTGGGATTTCTCCACCTGTATAATGTATTAAACTGAAGGGTGTGATATACTTGTTGAAGTGTATCATACCACTTGCTGAAATTGATGAGAACGACTTACCCGTGGAAGTATTATGGGTATTACCTAGCTTCCAAGTACAGAGTGAATAAAGTTGACGAAGATGACAAGTCCTTAAGGAGTATTATTGGAATTATCGAACTTCCAAGTACAAGATGAGCGGAAGAAATCTCTCCTAGATTATCCATATCTCGAAATTGTTTAATACAACATACCTTTGGGGAAATGGAATCTATTTTCCATGCAAAGATATAAAAGGATGGGAGGCCAAAAAGGTTCGGATGATCTATACTTGCAAGAATACAATCCTGGCTGGGAGCAATACTCAATTCTTTCTTGGTCAAAAAAATAAATTAGTGGGAATTCCACTAATTCTCAACAATA